TCCCTTACAATTGACCTTTATTGAACACAATGCACGTACTACATGTTTTGGCATATAGTAATATAAAAATGCTATGACAGACGTTTTAAAAATCTCTAGACGTATTTTTTTTTTCTGGCTTTGATAAATTTTCACTCGTCTGTGAATAATATATGTTTTATGGCAAATGCCGGTTACTGATAGCTAGAGATATAGACACGTGCGACACATGACAGTTTGTCAAAAGAAATGCGTTTAACGTGGTCTGTATAATGTATGTATTAGACGCTGGCTCGGGATATCAGTGCCGATCGACAGCAGCAACAACGTTAGCAATGTTTGTAGTCATGATATAACTTGTGTTCATGTCAAAAAATATACTTTGACTAGGAAAATGTGCAGTTTTTGTGTGAAAAAGCAGAAAGACAATAAACATACATCTACGGAAGACGACGGGATTAATTGTGATAAACATTACAACTTTATTAACATGTATTTCCCAACGTTCATTCTACATGTGTAATATACAGATATAATTTCCTTTCTCCGTCTCCTACATATATTAAGGCAATGACAAATTTGAAATGCGGGGAGGGGCCGGAGGAAATTGGTAAATTAAAATTGCATTTTTTTTTCTCTTACGATCGTGTCAGATCATTTTAGATTTTTATTTCGTTGATTTCAGCTTGCATAATTTTTTTCCCGGAATATTCCAGCCGCGAATGAGTTACCCCTAAATATCACATGCATGATTCCGAAATGTATATCCAATGCACATGTTAGATCCCAATACGTTTACATCCATTCAGAATAGAATACAGGTTACTGTATAATCTAGAGAGATTTCCTTGTTTTGGAACTTCAATCGCGATCACGGAACTTGAGGTTCAACTTTGTAGCCGGCACTGTAATCAATCGTGTGGTCATCTCCAGTGGTTTATCGCTGTTGGGTTCTAGACGAAAGTTTTGGAGTATCTGAAGTGGAAAGAGTTCAGTCATATATAAAATAAATGGAATATATGTAAAACATACTTTTTGTTTTTTTAGCAATGGATATGTATATTATATATTAGTGGTAGCACCAATACATATGCACTTGAAAAGAGCTGTTCAGATATGTACAGCCACTAAAGAGGTGGGTTATTTGTCTATATAAAGTTCTGAAAATACGTATTGAAATTTATTGGTAATACTTGTATACCACATTCAACATACATAATGGTAAATTTATGAATAATGATTATCTTATTCTGAGCTCGAAAGGTCAATGGTCAAATTCACAAATTAGTCATTCAGTGCCCGAAAATGGAGCGTTTTGATTGTCCCAAACGCTCTTTGTACATTCTTGTATACTGTAAAATGACTAATTTTCACTGGGTTTAAATTTCGCTGATTTACCATTTCAGGCATATTCAGTGGGTTTTAAATTCACGGTTATATCATTTAGATAAAGTGTTCTATGCTAAATTTACATATTCACTGGGTTTTAATTTAGCGCATTTTTCAGTTAGCGAAATAAGCAAAATTAAAACCCAGTGAATAATTAATCCTTTTACAGTACCCTATAATTGATTACTAGTATATGTAAGACCACTAATAAACAGACTGGCAACGCTATTGTTTGGAGGTGACAATCGGCCTAATCCCCGGCAAACGTGCGTTTCGGCTACGCTGGTGGCTCACTCTTTGCCGAATTTTGCCGAATGGCGAGTACATACATCGGGAATCCATGGTCTCGCATGTATTTCAGTCTTTCTCTGTGTATTCAGTTCAGATGAGATCACCCGTGAACGAGAGAGTTTTATGTCGAGTTGCCGAATAATATATTTTGTGGCTAAAATTGACCATATTTTAGGAAAGTAACGATTATTTGAATGTATATTCTACCTTCACAGTAATGTTTATTAGTTGTCTGAGATTATATTTACTATTTTGTTCCGATACACGATGTGGAGGGTAGCTATAATGGACATTCCGCCCAACCCAGCGCATCACTTGTTTCAATATTCCGGGTAGATCCCCCATACAAACTTTGGTTGTTGCATTCAATTTACTTACCTTGGTAAGAGTTATGTATATTTCCAACTCTGCTACTCTTCTACCAACACACTGCCTCGGTCCAAACCCAAACGGCTGTATAGTGAACTGGTTGATATCGTGTGATTCCTTATTCGATCTTAACCATCTGTCTGGAAGAAATTTCTCAGGGTTTGGAAACAACTTCGGATTGCGTCCCATAGCGGTAGAGTGTATGGTCAGTACTTTCTATTTAGGATGAACGTATTAGAAATGTATATTATATTCAGAATGTGATCATTTTTTAACATAAGTTTAATATGTTCAATTTAACAGCGAAGTATGTTCAATTTTAGTACTTACACCAGCTGGTACGTTGTAGCCACAGAGAACGACATCAGTGTCCAGTATTCGAACAAGCAAAGGCGTCACGGGACGCAACCTAAATCATAAATGGTAAGCACAGTTTATTTGTTAAGAAAAAACGTCATCATTCCTATAAATCGCACCCTCTAGTGACAGAGCGGTTCCGTGACGTCAAAATGACGTAATTATATGGGTGGAAACACTGTTCAAATCGACCACTATGTTTTGTTGAGTGATAGTTCGTCATCTAAAATACAGTAAAATTTCTCAAAAACGTAATGTCCATTGTCGGGCGACTACAGATCAACACGACACCGACGCTTTGAGACCTTCCTGTTGCCCACTGACGTTACGTCATATAGGCGATGTGTCAATGTGTATACCATTTCGCAGACGTTTAGTACAATCACTGATACACTTGATACTATGTTGAGTGAAGCTGAATAGTTAGAAAGTGGCGTAGATGAAGCCATGTGCAGTCGGATGTTATGTTGAATGTGAGTACCAGTACGATTCGGAAACAATCACTTAAAGCGCACGTGTCAGATGGCCATAGCGTGTCATTGTTTACAAACAAGCGTCCACCCATGAGCCTTTGCGTTTTTAGCGCGTGTTATCAATTCCCGCGCGTGCGCAGGTGACGACCCCCCCCCCCGCGCTTTAAGTTACTACAATGAACATGTCAAGTGATTTCATTAATGGTCGAGGGTAACATGCATGACAAATTACGCTGAAATGTTTTCTACGAGTACCTCATGCTTTCTTTTACGACTGCTTTTAGGTAGTGTAACTCCTTTAAATATTCTTGGCTGACTGACTTTCCTTCTGGTATGACATTTTTGATTTCCTGATATAACTTTTCCTGTGCTTCTGGATTCCAGGCCAACAAATCAAGGATGAATATAACTGTGTTAGTGGTCTGAACAAAATAAATATAAAAACATTATACAATTGAAACATACCTTAAAGGG